CCGTTCTACAAGTCAGGGGAAGTGACTGCAGACTGGACAGCAGGCCAAAGGAGGGAGCCGCTGTGCACCCACTCATGCTGCATCCATCAGCCAAAGGGGCCGCCGGGCTGGGGTGGGTGAGGATTCCGATGCAGCCGCCGTGGGGGCTCGGCTCTCACCAGGGCAGGGGGCGGGGCAGGCAGTGTCGCACACCCGGAGCTGGTCTCACAGAGGAGGGCGACAGGACGTGGGCAGAGGTGTTTGGGCCACAGCAGGTGGGGGTGCCTTTGGTGAGCAGGGGCCAGGCCGGTCCCTAGAGTGTGAGCCTGGACAGCCATGGCGCGGGACCCAAGGCCCCTCCTGGGGTGGGGGGGTGCTCCTTGGCCGGGGTGGGTGCCAGGCCCACGTGCGTCCACAGGTCCCTCCCGGCTGGGCAGGGGCCAGCAGCTGTGACCGTGGCAGCCCGGCCGTCTGCTGCCTGGCCGGCCTCCCCGGCGCCCGCTGTGCCCCTGATTAGTTGGCATGGACAGTGGCAGGGGCAGCAGACGGCCTCCCCCAGCCGCCCAGCGCCTGCCACTGACCTGGCCGGACCGGACCGGAGAGCACGGAGCTCCGGAGCCAGGCTGCAGCCGTGCCCCCTCCCCCGGCCACCGGCTGTGCCCCCGCACAGAGGCTGGCACCTGCCCGCTGTTTCTACTGGAGCTGGCTACAATGTGGCCACGCTCATCTGGGCTGACAGCTCCTGTCTGCAGAGAGCACCCCAAACCTTGCGGGAGAGGCCCCCCTCGCGGCGCCCGTGGAGCAGATGGGACCCCTTCTGGGCCAGGCCCTCGGGGTGGGGCAGCTCCACCCGTGCCCCCACCCAGCTCCCAGCGTTTGGTGCCTGACACCGCGCACCTGGTGCTCCCAGGCCGGACCCCGAGAAGTGACGAGGCAGCGCCGTGCTGAGGGCCGGGCCCCCAAGTCCACGTGTCCGGAGGGAGCCCCGTGAGCCCCACGGCCGCTCCGCTGCTCCGCTGCGCAGGCCTCCTCCCGCCCTCCCCACCCCCAAGCCTGGGCTCCGCCTTCCACATCTCTGGAAGCTGCCGTGCACCGCCACCAGCCCCGCCATCTTTGCTCATCCCAGAGGCAGCCGGCGATGCAGGTCCCCTGGAGGGTCTGAGGCGGCCTCGTGCCCGGCTGGGCTCAGACGTCCTGTCCAGGGTCTGTGCCCCCGGTCCTCACCAGGGTGGGGCTTGTCCTGGATGTCCTGGGGCCGCCGGGGTCCTACACCCCTTCTTGGCTGGGTGAGTAGGGTCTGCTGCCCACCAAGGCCCACCTGGAGACCGTAGAAAGCAGAAGAGATGGCGCAGGAATCAAGGAAGGCAGCCTGGAGGAGGAGGAGGGTTGGCTGGTGCAGGTGTGGAGGCGATGGTGATGTGAGGGCCGTTTGTCCGCCCCCTCCTGTGTCTCCTCCCGCCTCCTACCCCCTGTCCGCCCCCCGCTGTCCTCTGCGTGGTCTCCTTGTCCACTTCCCTCGGTCATGCCTTCTCTTTATCACTGTCTCTGTCTCCTCTCCCTGCCTCCGCCTTGGGCTCCCCCTACAGGTGCCCAGAGCCAGGGGACGCAGCCTAGTGTCACATCCCACGGGTCAGGGCTAATTACGGGGCCGTGGGCATCAAGGGGGGATCAGCCGAGTGTCCCGGGGCCTCCCGACTCCCAGCTCCCTGGCTCACGGGGCCGTGAACTCATTCTCAGCCCCTAATTAGCTCCTTAAGCCCCGGCTCTGTGGCCTTCGGGCTCCCTGCCCGCCCAGTGCAGAGGGCCGTGACGCTGAGCTGGCCTCAGCGGCCGAGGGAGGCTGCGGGGGGGGGGGGGTGGGGGAGGAGCTGCCCGCCCGCAGGTGTCCGGAGCCTCTCGGGACGGCGATACACGGAACAGAAACTGGGATTACTGGACGGCAGAGGCCCGGCCGCCTGCAGGGGTGGCCTGGGGCAGGCGGGGGGGGGGGGGGGGCGGGAGAACCAAGGCGCTGAACCACCCTGCCCTGGCTTTTTCTGGGCCAGGCCCCCCTCCCCCCAAGCTGCTGCCTCTAGGGATTCCCCCTTCCCGGGGGCCCCGTCCAGGGGGAAGCCTGGAGCTGATGGGGGCTCTGCCCACTCACGGAGCCCAGGGCCTGCCTGCCCGGGCACCCAGCTCAGAGCCCCACGTTCCGCAGGTGCCCTCTGCCGACCCTGGCACAGCTGGCTGCGCCTCCTCCGTGCCTCTGCCCACGCTGGGCCCTCGGCGCCTTCCGCCCTGCAGGCCCTGCCTGGCACGCAGCAAGCATTTGTTAGGTTTGATGAATGAATGAACGAGGGAGGGAGGCACTGGCATGGCCTGTGGCTCGCTCGGGCCAGCTGGATCCCCTGGGATGGGCTCCGAGGGTCCCTGGTGGTGTCTTGCTCCCGGTGTCTGCCCGCCCTGGCTCCCTGTGGGGTGAGGGCCGCGGGGCCCGCTCTTGGTCGGGAGGCAGCCTTCTCGGAGCCCACCGCCTTCCTGACAGGAGCTGGCCTCGTTTCGTGGGGAGGGAAGATGGGGTGGGCATGAATTATTGATTGGCAACCAGTGCACAGGTTTCTGATGCAAATGCCAAATAGCCACCCTCATTAGTAACCAGCTCGGGGCCACCCCGGGAAGGAACACAAGCCTGGGCGGGGCCACTGTCCTCACTGCCACCCCCCACCTCCCGCTGTCTCCATGACTCGCCACGTCATGTGTTCACGAGCAGTCACTCAACCAGCGTTAGCTGAGCCCGTCTTCTGGGACAGGACCTGCTGGGTTCCGGGGACACTGCAGTGACTCAGACACGGCTCTGGCCCCCAGGAGCTCACAGCCCAGGGGCAGAGACAGGAGGGTGAACTGGCTAGCTGCAGACTGATGGTTGATGTTGAATGGAGCCTCCTGGGTTGTGGAGTATGCGCCCTGTGCAACTGTACATGGCAGCCCAGGCCAGGTCAGAGGGGCTGAGAGTTCCCAGAGCAAGAAGAGAGGGGTGCCTGTACTTGAGACGGGGGTAGGGAAGCACCTGGACGGCTTCGCAGAGACAGAGAGCGTCACAGGACTGCGGTGGCGAAACAGGACTTGGCCAGGCACAGCAGGGTGGACGAGGGAACAGCATGGCGGAGAGCATGGAGGTGTGAACCCATTGTTTGTGTAGGGAATCTGCCGGGCACAGGGTACAGGGCCAGAGAGAGGGAGCTAGAGCAGGGGCGTGTGGGGGCCCTCCGGGTCCCCAGTGTGCACCCCTGCTTGGCCCGGCAGCTCCTGCCTCTTCCGGCTGCAGGCGCGGGCGCGGGAGGTTCACGGTGGCGCATGCGCACCGCGCGGTTCGTGGTACTTCCTGTGCGGCGTGGCCCCGCCCCCTCTGTGGGCGATGGGGCGCCGGGAGCTGTCACTCCCGCCGGTGACCTGCCAGGACCTCTGTTCCAGAGAGTGGCCGCGGTCAGCACGCGCCCTCTCTTTGGCCCTGGACTTTGCTTGCCCCGCAGAAGTTATTCCAGGCAAGATGGCCCCAGCGGCTCCAGCTCCCCTCCGCCCCGCCTGCCACCCCTGTGGATGGAGCCTCTTTCCCTGTAGCGCCCCTGGGAGCGCCTGGGCTGACTCTCATTGGTCCTGGCGGGGATCACATGCCCACTCTGGACCAATCACTGGGGCTACGGGGAGGGAGCATGCTGATTGGTCAGGTCAGGGTCACGTGATCCCCATGAGGCCGCGTTTTCAGCACCTTGGTCAGCGCTGTTGGGCATGAGTCGACGCGACTGGCACTCCGTGGGTTCTTGGTAGTTCGGTGCCTGGGTCGTCTCGCGTGGAGCCTGGAGGGAGGGGGTGACTTGGAGACAGCAGCTGAGGCCATGTCAGGGGACGCCGTCACCCAGCCTCGGGAGAGGCGGTCGGTTCTCAAAGCTGGCCCTGCACCTGCGGCGGGAGGGCGGGTGTCCTCCGCGCGCTCCGTGGGGACGGGAGCTGTGGGGTGCAGCCGGGGAACCCTGGTGGGTGACGCCTGTCCCGGCGGGCGGGGCGGGGACTTGAACCTGGGGCCCTGAGTGAGAGAAGCTCTGCTTTGCTCAGGCTTCCGCTCCCTCCCTGCCGGGTGTTCAGGCTCCCAGGGGCCATCTAGGATGTGGGCAGCCCCCACCCAGCCCACTCCTCTGCCTGCCCGAAGCCCCCCCCCCCCCCCCAGCTCTCCCCACCACCTTCCCTGGGAGTACCAGCCCTTGCTGGCCGGTACTGTTGTGTCTGCACGGCCCTTGAGCCGCTGACCACCCTGGGGTTAGAGCATTCAGGACAACCCCGTTGGGCACCTACTGGGCCTCCTTGCATGGACGCTGGGCTTCTGAGCTGAGCCAGGGCGGGGTGCTGTGGAAAGGGGATGGGTCTTGGTGTCTGGTTTACATTTTAATTTTATTTGAAAGGCAGAGGGACACACAGATCGTCCATCCTCTGGTCCCCCCGACCCCCAATGCCCGTGACAGCCAGGCTGAGGCCAGGCCGAAGCCAGGAGCCTAAAACTCAGTGTGGGGCTCTCCCATGGGTGGCAGGGGCCTGAGGACTTGAGCCGCCACCTGCCGCCTCCGGAGTGAGGAGGTAAAGCAGGCACTGTGCCGTGGGACGTGGGCGTCGCTGCGCCAAGCGCCTGCGGACACCCTGTTTAAACCCAGACCCTGCCGCCCTGTAGCCCTGTGACCGTGGGTGAGTGGCTTCAGTCCTGGATTCTCCAGTTGCCTCCCGTGGAAAGTGGGGGTGACCTCCCCTAGGTGTCACCAAGCCTGGAGGGTCTCCCGTTTGGGCACAAGCATAAACCGTGCTCCGTCCATGTCCACCCATTCATCTGCAGCCTCGTGGGAGAGTGGGGGCCCAGAGCCATTTCCGTGGCCTCGGGGCAGACGCGGGGGGTCTACTGGGCAGCCACGAGCCGCCGGGAGCCCTGGTCCGTGTCCCGCCTGGCCCCCGCCCGGCCGTGTCTCGCTGACCTCTGCCCGCTGTCTGGCCCCCTCCCCCAGGTATGCGGATCCTGGTGAACCTGCTGCTGGACACGCTGCCCATGCTGGGGAATGTGCTCCTGCTCTGCTTCTTCGTCTTCTTCATCTTCGGCATCATCGGCGTGCAGCTGTGGGCGGGGCTGCTGCGCAACCGCTGCTTCCTGGAGGAGAACTTCACCATGTGAGTGCGCAGCCCCGGGACCGGGCCCTGGCGGCCGGGGAGACGGCAGAGCCCCGGAGCAGCCCCGGGCGTGGCCCGGCAAGGGCGGTCCCGATCACCGCCGCCCCGGGAGCCGGTTGCCAAAGCTGTGCGAGCCCAAATCAAGCTGGGGCTCTTGGGGAGCTGGGTTTCGTGGTGCCCTCGTGCAGGGGGCCCGGGCAGGCCCCCCTCGGTCACAGGCGGGAGCTTCATTCACCCAGGCCTTGCTGTCCCACGCGGCCCTCTCCTGTGTGGTCTGGGGCCGGCCCCTTCTCATTGCTGGAGCTCAGCCCACGAGTCACCGCCTCCTGTACGCCCCCCCCCCCGGGCTCGTGCACTGTCCTGTACGCCCACCCCCTGGGCTCGTGCACTGTCCTGTACGCCCCCCCCCGGGCTCGTGCACTGTCCTGTACGCCCACCCCCCGGGCTCGTGCACTGTCCTGTACGCCCACCCCCCCGGGCTCGTGCACTGTCCTGTTTGACTTCCTCCCTGGCTCGTGCACTGTCCTGTTTGACTTCCTCCCTGGCTTGCCTCTTTCTAGAGCGGTCTTATATCCCGGCCCATGGGCTCGGGTGCTGGGTGTGTTTACTGGGTCTTTGGGTGCCACTCGAGTGTGAGTTCTGCGTCAGAGCGGGGGCACCTGGCTCATCGTTCTGTCCCCAGGGCCCAGACCAGGGACTGGCACGGCGCCCCGACCGGTTATGCAGTGCGTGTGCGTGTGTGCCTGTGTGATGCCCCCCAGCAGGTTCTGAGTCCCGCCCCCTCGGCCGTGTGCTTCCTGTTGTCAGGCCAGGCTGTGTGAGGGACTCCAGCTCCGTCTGGGCTGTGATGTGGGAGCTGGAGCGAGGGGCAGAGGGTCCCAGGGCCACAGCATCCGGCCCCCTTCCCCCCTTCGGCCTGGGAAGAGTAGAGGTGAATGTCAACACATGTCACCTGAGCTGGAGCCCTTAAGGGAAGAGGGGCGGAGGTGGGGCGGGGCTGGCTGGTCCCCCCCCCCCAAGCTCCCGCTTCCTCCGCTCCGGGCAGGTGGCAGCGCCCTCCATACCCTGCTGGGCTGGGGACAGCCCATGCTGCCTGAGGGGCAGTGGGCCTCGGCTGGGTGGAGAGCAAGGCCAGGCTGTCCCAGGTCTGCGTCCCTCAACGCAGGGAGGGAGGTTTCACCTGAACTCCAGAGGCCTTGTCCAGGAAGCAGAGGGGTTGGTAACCGGGATGGGGCTCTGGGGGAGCCAGGCCGAATCCCGGGCAGGGGCAAAGTCCACAGGCAGCTGGGCCGAGCGCAGCTGGAGGGCCGACAAGGGCCCTTCTCAGGACGGAGCACAGGCGGCCGGGACGGAGGAGGGGTCTCGGGCTGCCGGAGCCCAGCTCTCGCCTGCACACTGGCTCCGAGGCCTGCCGAGGGAAGGGAGGGGCCAGGCCCCCACCGAGCACCCCGCCCCCTCCTGGGCGTCATCCCGCAAGCATGGGCCACTTCCGGGGAGCAGCCTTGGCCTTGGGAGGCTTGTCACTCAAGATCAGCCCACCCTGGAGTGCCAGGGGCTGCTCGGGGCTCCAGGGGTAAACCCCGGGTGAGCCTGTGGGCGTGACGGAGCCCAGAAGGCAGCCGTGGAGCCCGGCTAGTGAGACAGCTGAGGTTTGCCGGGTGCCGCGTGTGCACCAGCGTGATCTTCAGAGCCCCACGAGGGGAGTCTTCTCCCCCACTTGGTCAGGGAGGTGAGGGCGTCTGCCCAAGGGAACGTGGCTGGTAAGTCATGGAGCAGCAGGGGTTGTGGGTAGCCCCGAGGTGGGGTAGGGGATGCACCGGCACTGCAGGTGGCCTTGGCCGTGGTCATGGGAACCGGGCTGGGCTGCCTGATGTCACCTGAGTGCTGATCTGGCACAGACAGGGAGGGCCCAGACACAGTGCCCCCCCATCTCCCTGGTCTAACAGGTGGGGCTGGCAGAGAGCCCCCAGGAGAGAGCAGAGAGGCCAGGTGGGTGGCGGCCACCCAGGCAGGGCTGTGCAGTCTGCTGTCCTCAGCTGCGTGAGCCCAGTGCCCGGGGACCCCAGGACGCCCCTGGCCGACGTTGCCATGGACTGGCAGTCTCCCAGCACTGCGTGTGCTTTTGAGAGCCCTGTGTGTAGGTTTTCAGGAGTGATTAAGTCTAAAAAGCTTGGGATGAAGTATTTGTGATACATAAAGGACTCCAACCCAGAGCAGGCAAAGAACTCAGCCAGTTGATAAAGAGAAAAACGGTCCAGGCGAAAATGGCCAAGCAGATCTGAGCAGGTGCTTTGCTAGGGGAGAGAGCGGCGGCTGATGAGCGCGGGAGGCGTTTCTCGTGGGTAGTCGGCGGGAAGCACACGCTGGGACCTTGTGGGCAGTCGGCGGGAAGCACACGCTGGGACCGTGGGGAGGCGCCAGGGTGCGACGGTGCCCGGGTCACCAGAGCTGTGCAGCCACCCCTCCGGCAGGCTGTTGGGCGGACGGTGCTGAAGCTGAGCCCAGACACACCCCCAGCCCAGCGGGGCTCCTGCGTGCGGCCCCAGGGCAGGCGTGGCTGGTGGCCGCCTGCCCAGTTCCGTGCAGCACGGATCCGTAGCCAGCAGTGCATTCGCACAGGGAGCTGGAAAAGAAGGGACTGCTCCTCCACTGCCTGCGTAGTGCTGCCGGGTGGGGCAGTTGGCACGGTGCCTGCATCCCGGAGCAGAGGCCCTGGGGGCGGGGCTCAGCTCCGCTTCCGAGCCGGCCTCCTGCTGATGCGCCAGGTGGGAGACCCAGCCTGCATTCGGCTTGGTCCAGCCCTGGCGTCTGGGGAGTGAATCAGTGGACGGAAGGTCTGCCTCGCGCTCTCTGCCTTTCATTAAGAATGAAAATAAATAAATACGTAATGAGCGTAGCATCTCCTGTGAAGAGCAGCCCTTGGCTGCAGGCAAGCTCATTTTACGCCGTGTGTTAGCGTTGCTGTTTGTGTCCAAGGTCGCGACAGATCCTGCAGTGTGTGTGTTTTGGGTTCCCACTGGTCCGTATGCGTGTGGTCGGGCTCAGTTTGTTCTCGTTACTTTGTGTGGACATTCAGCGGCCTCAGGACTTCTCTTTGCGGAGAAGCCGGTCTTCCTGCAGTGGGTTGCAGCCGTGTCTGTGTCAGCATCACATGACCTTGTGAATTTTGGCTGGATGTGTGCAGACAGAGCTCCCCTCCACTGGCTCACTCCCCAAATGCCCGCGATGGCCTGCGAACTCCCTGCAGCTCCCAGGATCTGCGCTGCGCAGGAAGCTGAGTGGGGAATCGACCCCAGGCGCCCCCGCGTGGGGTGTGCGTGTCCCAACAGGCGTCTTCACCGAGGCCCAGCGCTCCGCTGGCCGTGTAGGTTGTGGCTGTTGCCCTCGGCAGGGCCCGCGTCCAGGTGGTCTCCCGCCAGCGGCGTGCAGCTGTAGCCCTCCTCCTTCCCCGTGCTCACGATGGTCCACCTTGGAGTGGTCCGTGCGGGGGCGGGGGGCGCTCAGTGACCTCATGGCAGGGTCTGTTTGCTGTGGCCCGGGCTTTGTGCCTGCCTCACTGCACCTGCCGTCGCAGTGCCGCGTGGCGTTAGCAGTCACACTTGCAGGGCGCTCCGCCCCCTGGTCAGCCCGCTCCCTCTCGTCTCCCTCGGACACTCATTGTGACTCTGCTGTTGTTTGGGTGACTCCCAGAGCCGGGGCCCGTGGGCAGCGTCACGGCGGGGTTTGGTTGGGACTGCGGCTGGGCAGGGCAGGCCCTGGGTGTAGAGGAGGAAGCCTACGTCTAGAGGGGAGCGACCTGCCCTGGCCACTGAGGTGGGCAGGGTGGGGTAGAGTTCTCCCCATGCCTGCTGCGTCCCCGAACCTCAACACTTTTTTTTTTTTAAAGATTATTTATTTGCAAAGCAGTCGTGGGGGGAGAGGTTTTCCATCTGCTGGTTCACTCCACAAATGGCCACAATGGCTGGGGCTGGGCCAGGCTGAAGCCAGGAGCCAGGAACTCCATCCAGGTCTCCCACGTGGCTTCAGGAGCCCAAGTACTTGGCCATCCTGCACTGCTTTCCCAGGCACATTAGCAGGGGCCTGGATCAGAAGTGGAAGAGCTGGGACTGGAACCTGCGCCCGTGTGGGATGCTGGTGTCCTAGGTGGCGGCTTGACCCCAGTGCCTGCTTGTTGGCCACCTGCTGTGTGCTGAGCAGTGTGCAGGGCCAGGGGTGCAGAGCTGTGTCGCTCACTCTGCCCCAGGGGCCGTGGCCGAGGTGTGGCCAGTGACACTCCCCTGTCCCTTCCCCTCCGTGACAGCCAGGGGGACGTGGCCCTGCCTCCGTACTACCAGCCCGAGGAGGACGACGAGATGCCCTTCATCTGCTCCCTGTCGGGCGACAACGGCATCATGGGCTGCCACGAGATCCCCCCGCTCAAGGAGCAGGGCCGCGAGTGCTGCCTGTCCAAGGACGACGTCTACGACTTCGGGGCGGGGCGCCAGGACCTCAACGCCAGCGGCCTGTGCGTCAACTGGAACCGCTACTACAACGTGTGCCGCACCGGCAGCGCCAACCCCCACAAGGGCGCCATCAACTTCGACAACATCGGCTACGCCTGGATCGTCATCTTCCAGGTGAGGCCGGGTGGGCCGGGGTCAGGCAGGTGCCCGCGCCAGGCGTTTGCCACCTGCGTCGCCGAACCCTGCTGCCTGCTGGCACCAGACAGGTCCTCAGGCCCGTTTTAGAGACGGAGAACTGAGGGTGGCAGACAGGAAGCGTGCTAGTGACTGGAGTGGGAGGACCAGGATTTGAACCCAGCTCTGGGGTCCCAGCAGGGGGTTCTGAGTGCAGAGGAGAGGCAGGGCTGCTGGACAAGGCACGGCCTCACGTGGGGGTGCGGGAGGGGCCATTCCTGGGGGGGTGCCAGGCAGAGAGAGCACCGGCGGCAGGGGTCCCCAGGAGCCTGGCTGGTCTGGAGCGGGTGGGAGGCGTGGTGCCCCTGTCAGTGTGAACGTACCTCACCGCTCCGCCTGCACGCCTGTCCGGGGAGCGGGGCGGCGGGCCTTGGTGCATTGCCTGACCTTTCTGTGCCTCGGTTTTCTCCTCTGTAAAATGGGGGCAGTGACAGTCGCCCGCCCCCGGGTGGAGATGAGGGGAGCAGAGCACTCGGGCCCTGTGCTGTGGGTGCCCTGCCACAGGGCCTCCCGCTGTCCTCAGAAGCCCCCAGGAGGCGGGAGGGCCTTCCCAGGCTGCCCCACACACTTGCCGAGGGGAGCAGCGGGGTCATGGATTCAGAGCCATAGGCCGTGTGCGCTCACTGTCCAGTGGCCGTCCAGCCCGAGAGAGCGGGTGCTTGGGGCTCACGTGCTGGGCGTTTGCCAGAAGCGCACAGAACAGCTGTGCTGGCGTGGCCCCTGTGGTCTGGGAGGGAGTGGGTGTAGGACCGGGTGAAGGGGGGCAGTCCCAGCAGCCCCAGGGCTCCGTTAGCTGAGGCTCAGGGACGGAGGGTGAGTGGCCCAGCTGCTGAGCCAGACCCGGTGCCCAGGGCCCTGCCCCTGCAGCCCGCCTGCCCTGGGGTGGCGGCTGGAGACAGGGTGGGCTCTGGAGTGCCCGGGTGGAGTCCGGGCTCCACTGCGGCTTGGCCGTGTGGCGCCGGGCAAGGCCCTCACCTCTCTGAACCCGTTTGCTTAGCGGTGTGACGGGGCGAGGATGGCTGCTCAGCAGGGGGCCGCCCGCCTCCCTCACGGCCCCTGTGTGGCTGCAGGTGATCACACTGGAAGGCTGGGTGGAGATCATGTACTACGTGATGGACGCCCACTCCTTCTACAACTTCATCTACTTCATCCTGCTCATCATAGTGAGTGTCGGGCAGCCGGGGCTCGTGGGCAAGCTCAGGCCCACGGCCAGGGGCCTGCGGGAGAGCAGGGGCTTCGGGAGTCCCCGGGGAGGTGGCTGGGAGCGGGCAGGAGGGGATGTTTTGAAGCCCAGCCGTCGAGCAGTGATTGGAGGGGCGAAGGTCACTTCCCACTGCCCCGGCCGTGGAAACCCACTGGGTGGCTCCGGCTTGCCTCACACCCACCGCGGGAAACCCAGTCTTCGCTCGACCTCAGCCAAGGTCACAGCCCCCGGAAGGCAGCTTGTCGAGGGTGCCTGCCCACCCATCCTGGGCGCGGGAAGACGCGAGGCTCTGCCGCCGTGGCCTGAGTCCGCTTCTGGGGCTGGGTGTGGAGAGGGGACACTGGCCCCGGTGGGGACCTGGAGGGACTCCCACCCTGCGGGCAACCTGAGCTCCGCTGGCCCCTTCTAGGCCAGCACTGCCCCTCCCCTCCCCTCCCCTCCCCGCCCACCCCACCTCTGCAGTCTCCGACCCCACTGCCGCAGTCCCCAGGTGGCAGGCAGTTCCTTCCAGGAGCCGAGCCGCTCACTCCCCCCGCTGCAAGGCTGGGCTCTCTGGCTTCCTGTGCACGGGACGGGGGGGGGGTCAGGATGCGCTGGCAGGTGGCTGAGACACCTGCTGTTGGCTTAGCTCCGTGCCTTCCCAGGGTGGCTGGGGGCCTGGCGCCCCGAGGAGACACCGGTGAGGGAGAGCAGCCGTGCTCGTGTTCGGCCTTGCCATCCGTTGGCTTGTCCATGCATTCATCGAACGTTCGGGCGTGCCTGCCCCGCACCAGGCCCCGGGCTGAATGCTGGGGAGAGAGTGGCGAGTGGCCAGCCCCGGCTGTGCCCTCGAGTGGCGCACAGGCTCGCTGGGGAGGTGGCTGGCAGCAGGCGGCTGCTGTCCTGCATCGCACAACAGAGGGAAGCCTGCGGAGCCGAGGGGGCCCGGGAGGCCCCCGGTCCGGCCTGGAGGAGGGGGTACCAGAGCTGGGCCAGGAGGCCCTGGGGGTCAGCAGGGAAGAGCCTTCTGGAGGGGCTCGGCTCACAGAGGCCCTGCGTCCAGTGAGAGTCCTGCAGGGCGGGGTCACACACCGCGTGGGGTGCTAGAGGAGCCCGCACTTCCCAGGAGGGCGAGGGAGGCTCTGTCTGCTGCCCCCGCGGAATCTGAGTTGTGAACTCACAGCGTGACCCCGGAAGGCTCCTTAGCGCCCAGCTCACGGGGACGTGGGGACCTGGGGACGTGGCAGCTCCTCAGCCCCGTGCCCTGCGGGGTGCCTGCCCCGGGGGAGCTCAGCGGTGCACCTGCTGCTGTCACCACAGCTATGGCTGGGTCCCCGTGGCCCTGTCCCAGGACACTGCTTCTCCAGGGGCTACCAAGGGTCCAGGGAGCAGAGCCTGAAGCACCCTCACAACCCTGGCTGTGCGGGGCCTGGTCTGGGCCGCACGGCTGGTGAGGGCTGCTCACCTTCCGACCCAGTCCCGGTGCTGCTTCTGATTAGAAAACTCTGGGCTTGGTTTGCCATTTTCACAGATGAGGAAGTGGAGGTCCAGAGGCGGCAGGAGCCTGCCTGGGTCACCCCGGCAGCTGTGAGGGAGACAGGGCCGGGTAGCAGTGTCCCAGCCCTCTGCTCCTCCGCACGCCTCACCCTGGCCTGGGCCGGGCTGCCCTCAGATGGGAAAGAGCAGAGCATCCTCTGGCCACAGAGGCAGGGATTTTCCC